AAACGGTATAAACATGGAATAGCATACACAGTAGGTGGAATGGTGATGGAAGCTCTGTTATACGGTAGATGTTTAGCCCGATATCGTGACGCGCGCCATGAATATAAATGTAGGCCTGTCTAGGCTACCTATCTTATGTACAGGCATGTTTCTTTATTTTATAACATATTCCTAGTCATAAGGCTAGTCATATTCATTTCACAATAAACTCTTGCACTTTTCCCCCTTTTCATTGAATACATAATCAATCATACTATACGCATATCTCTCTGTTCCACGAGGGAAACTGTCCTAGCTAGAGCTTAATTTTCTGAAAAATCATACTTTTAGAATACAGTATAGCAAAAATAAAGTTAAATAATACGATTATAACAATACTAATATGAACGAATAACAGATAACGCGAATTTATACGTATTTATTACAGAACTTAAAATAAGAATTATAGAATCAATTAATTATTGATCAACCAGTAGGCAGATATGCTAAGGTTTAACTCGTTGCCCTTCTTAACGGCAGAGTACTCAGTGGCGCAATGACATGTGTACTGTACTCACATTAATTAAATAATTAATTAATTTCATTTTTATTTTTGTTGTCTTTGTCATGATGAGGGCTACATACAATATATATATATATACATATATACAGGCCTATATATATATATACAGTATATATATGTAGGTATATTATATACATATATATAGATAAATTATACACATCTAGATGTGTATAAGAGACAGATCTATGCAGTATTAAAATGTAGGCCTACTTATTTTGTCTATTTTGTAAAAATACAGTATAGGTCTATAAATAATAATTAATATTTTTCTTCAAAATACTGAAATTATCCAAAGCGTATGCTCATGTCTATTTTATAAAAATATATTAAGTAATGAAGGATGCTAAATAAATGTCATTTCATTTTCTGATTTCTACAACAAAATTAGAAGTAGAATCGTTTACTTTTATCAATTTGATTATCAGTTGTATTTAAATTAACCAACTTTATCAGTTACCGTATGCTCGAATAAAAGTTAGGCCTACCAACCTTCTCGATTCGTGCGGGACGGTCCCGCATTTAAAAGTGTTTTGGATAAAAAACGCATTTTGTAGAAAGACATGTGTGATCACAGGCTTAGCACAAGTCTATGCGTAATAACGAATTTATATATATAGGCCTTCATTCTCACGCGAACATTTTGATTAGACCTTCAAACTTTCTCAAGGTGGTATTATTTTTTTAATCAAAAAATATTTTAAATAGTAGGCCTATATATAGGCCTATATATATATTAAATTATACAATATAATGTTTTGTTTTTATTAAAAATATAATGTAAACTATTGTTTGTAATCAGAAAAAAAGCTTACATTTTTAATCCCGTCCTTTTCTGTTTCGTTAATGATCGACGTTATTTGCGTGGGTAATCGACAACATAAATGCACCCTTCAATCTACAACCGATATACGATGAACAAAATTGATCACGCGTCTATTAATTATTTAGATAGGACAATGGGTAAGGCCAAGAACATTATGTCGTGTTGCTATGGGTATGAATGCCTGTGGATTTGCCGCTATGGATGAAAATGTGTTGTACCGGTTGTACTGAGTACCTCCGGATATCCCAAGGTTGTCTTTTGCATAGATTCACATGGATTCACCAACCAATGGAACCTGGGCTAAGTCCTCTTCTTGCCCAGTAGCAACTCAGACTCGTCCGTTCTAGGTCGGGACAAAATCTCAAAACTGATAGAATAAGAACGAACTCATCAATCAATGAATGTGCTGTCGACAGTAATTACATTTCTGTTTGTCTTTCCCAATGTCATTGTAATCATTATAAGATCGTAATTATGACTGATATTACTTTAATCGAAGGAATTTTTTATATTAGCATCAAATAAGTCTAGTCTTGGAAATTATAGACCCAATGCCATGATTACTTTTAGATATACAGTAAAAATGGGCCTGTGTATTTTGGTGAAAGAATACCTGATCGCCCTTTTTATATTATCCTACCGTTGAGCATGGAATATGGAAATACACTTTTTTTTTTTTTATAAGAAGAACACATTTTATAAGAACACTGAGGCTGAAATTGCTTAAAAATTAAGAACAAAATAAGAACAAATTGAGGCTGAGGTAGAATGTCAAACTAGAAAAGCCAGAAAATCATATCTGTACCTTATGTGCAGTATGTGTAACTATGTAATATCCTCTATAATACAGTACAGTAGGTGTACCTTCCTCACATTTGGGGCCATTTTTCTATGTTTGAAAAGTGTGTAAAATAAGAACAAAATAAGAACATTTTGAGCCTGAAATTGGCCAAAAAATAAGAACACTGAGCCTGGGCAAAATTTGACTGGTTCTTATAAAAAAAAAAAAGTGTAGGCCAACTGCATATACCAAAGCTCGATCCGGTCCCGAATTGAGCGGTGATGGGTGCCTAACCATGTAAAGCAAAATTAATTAAGTAATAATATTCATGATTTCCGGTTCCGGTTTCGAGATTGGACGATAAAGGGCATGCGATTGGTTGAAAACTGTGTTATTCCGTCGGGCCGGTGGCAAAGAAAGACAGTCTGCATTAAGAGGAGGCACATGGTAGCAAATTATTATTGTTGTTGTTGTTGTTGTCGTCGTCGCCGCCGCCGCTGCCACCGTCGTCGTCGTCCATCATCATCATCATCATCATCATCATCAAATCAGGGCCGTAATTAACCAGGATTGCCATGAGGAGGAGATCCTGGAAGGTGGTGGGGAGTGCGGGTATGTGCAGTTGAAGTTGAAGTGGATGTGGGGAGGGGGGCTGGCTCTATGATTAATTGAGGGGCTCTAACTCGCAAACTAAGGTGATTTTAGGTGATTTTTAACTACTGACCGTGCACCCCACTTATATACGCTACTGCCACTGTAAGTGTTAAATATATGTGTTTAGAAATTAAAAATACCGGTAACCTTTCTTGTGAACCCATTGCGAATAATATTAATTGAAATTTTTAACAATCGCTTTAAGGCAATCTTCTCTTTTGAACTAAACAGTCGCAGAAAGCTGCTCGTCTCACATACCGTTCGATGACAAACACCCACCCCCCCCCCACTTTGAATAAACGCTCCTCTCAAATATCTCTCCTTCCAAAACCTCATTTGGAATAAATGCATCCCTCGAATACACGGGGAGGGTTGGTGGAACAGGTAGCTTCTGATCACTGAATCTTCAGGTGACCAATTACAGCTGTCTTGAACCTTTCTTTATCTTGTATTTTAGGCTAATAGATCAATAGATGATATTTCAATTGAATAAGTACAAGTGTAACAATCATATCGAAGGCTGGGTATTTGGCGGAGGCCTACTTCAAGTGATGAGAACACTTGTCAGAAAATAGCATTAATGAGGTAACAAAGGAGTCTTGTATCTGACGGTCATGTCGACCATAACGTGTCCCTGCTCAGAACAAAGACAAAGTATTAATAATGCACGAACTGAGATTTGCATGCCGAAGGATTTAATAAACCGTTTGGAGGTTTGGGTAAGAGAAAAGTAGATACCGGTACTTAACTTAGAACAGATAAGCTGGTGGTAGCCACTATGTGCGCTGAACCGTTGAAATCTCTCGGTCCTCGATTCAATTCCAATCGCTGCCCTCCATGTACTTCAAGTTACGATAGCGCACCGTCTTTCGAATGAGACGTTTAAGCCGTTGGTCCCGTGTGCATTATGGCCCATGTGCGTTTCTGACCTTCCCCTCCCATTGAGCTGCCAAGCAAAAGAATTTCTAGACTTCCTTTTCGAGACCCATGAATTGGAAAATTAGATGATATACATGGCTGAATTTAAGGGGGTGTTGGGATGCATGTACAGATCATAATGCAAAACTGACCCTTATAAACCATGCGAAGAGAAATTAATCTATCTACACAAACAAGACTTACATGTTTATATACGGTATAGGCCAATTTTGTTGCAGCATATTTCAGACATCCTCTTAATAATTGTTGACCTATATAGCGCATATTGTAGAGACAGCTATGCGCTTAGCATTATTACCAGGGGCGGATCCTAGATTTGAAAGAGGTGTGGGGGGTGTTCAAGATGCTTCCAAAAAACCCCAAAAATGAAAGGGGTGTCCGGGGGTCCTCCCCTGGGAAAATTTTGATTCCTAGATGGCCGGAGAGATGAGCTCTCTCAACTACTGAGGAGTTTTTAACGACCTTTAAGTTCAAGGTTTTCCCCTTGCCCAAAGACACAAGCTTCATGGTTGAATCTGTTCAACCATGAAGCCTCCGTGGTCTAGTGGTTATGACACTCGCCTTGACAGCGAGAGGTCGCAGGTTCGAGTCCCGGCCGCCAGAGGCATTTTATTACACAATTTCTTTATTCATTTATTTACAGGACTACATTCG